CACATCAGCTGTAAAAGGATGGATTATAGTGAAAAACTGGATCAGGCCAAGGCAGCTGAATAGCTGAAGATACATTTTTATAAGTTGCTTCATTCAGCTGAACGTATTGATTGCGTTGCTAGTGGAGGTTGTCTGTGCAGATTTTGCGAACAATGCGAATTGATGATGGCAGAGGAGACGTCAAGTGCTGGCGTAGATGCTTACGTCAACGAATTACGCAGAAAAAGTGCTTAGGCTTACAAGTGTCAAGTGCTAATTTTTCTACGTAGATGCTTACGCAGAAAAATTCGTCAACGAATTCAGCAAAGTGCAATTTATTAGCAAAGAAAACCTGTGTCGCGATCAATTTTTCAAATTCGATGAGACAAGCAAGCCTCTGTCTGATGACAATTGTTGCATGATGCCCCAAACAAAACAACTCATCAGGTTGTTTCGAGCAAATGACAAAACGCCGACAGAGGCAAATGTCAATGGGGGTTGCGCTGAATGTTTCTATCAGTTCGCTGAAATTGCTTGGTGATATGGTGGAAAAATGCACAAAACCGAGATGCTATAAAAATGGCTATTTAGAGGAATTATTCGAGTTAAAGCAATGCGTAAAGGAACGCAACGATTTTCATGAAATGGTTTCGTGGAAATTTTGTCGAGCAAAAGTATCGTAGATGAATTTATCACGAAAAGCTTGATCATTGATGCACAGTCACTCTTGAGTCATTATTTCATCCTGAAATAACGACTGAACATGCTAGCATGGCGGCAATATTTCCCTCATCAGATGTAATTGCTTTAATCTGACCTATGAATCAGTGTTACAAGTTGAATGAAGCAATAACATCGAAATGTTCCTTTGTACTCATGTTGTTAGCTGATGACGAAGACAAATCACTTCGGGATTTTTTGAAAAGAATAAATCTCAGTGGACTGCTAGATCATGGACTATTATGATTGTCAGAAGATCACGTAACGGATGCAAAGAGATTTTACCGACGAATGAACTCGAAGAACAAGAGAAGTGTGTCGCTGAAGCATGATGCTCTGTGTTCGTGAATGATTCGGTAAATGAAGGTGATGCGGAGGAGTGGATTGTTTCATGCGTCTTAACTGTTGGTGATGAGCATCTGGATGAGCAACTAGTAGAACCTGCAGTAGTGCTCAGCGATAGTGATGATGAATCAGATGAAGGCACTGAAATCGAACGCATACCACATTCGTCAGCTTTCGAAACATTTATTGCATGGTGACGTCAAGAGAATGAATTTAATGCAAACGGTGTGCGCATCTTACTCTTTATGAAGGAATTTTGCGCAGAAAAACATGTGACAACAATCAAACAAATGCACACTGCAGATCATTTCTCTTCAAAGTTGCCCTCTATTTAGGTATTTGAATGGGAAATGCTGCTAATAGTTTTCGCATCAATTGGATGCTCTTCCCGCAACCTGGGCAAGAGATCCATAAAAATCAGCCTATTCGACGATTTGCGTTGTCCGAGCGTCTTCGATGTCTGAACGGAGCCTGATCCCAAAGGATTCGGATATAAGGAGAGGATATACTGTATTAAGAAACTAATAGCGTTAAGAATGCTGATAATGATAGCATCAGTAATGATTTATCAAGCATCATCTCTATCAACAGCAACAAAACTGCCTTGTTGGTTTCCTTGCAAGAATGCGCATAAATAATCTCTGGAAGGCAATTGCAAAGAAAGACTTGCGAGAAGCTGGCATTTTTAAAGTAATCCTCTTCATCCGTTGCACGTCGTCGTCTCACAACAGCCATTCGGCATCACGCATTTAATTTATACTCCTACCACTCCTTACAACACAGCATCATCCCTGACAAGCCATAATATCATCAAGCATTATCCATTCATCTCAGCACTTCCCACTCAACAATTCACTTTTATCATTATCACATCCTCATTTCAGATACATACACCTTGCCTATATCTACCTCTTCATTCAACACAATTGAAACAAAATCAATGTGTTTTCTCATTTCACATTTTCAGCCCGAATATTCCCTGATGAATCTTAATTTGATTCAGTGCCACTAACGTTTGATACTTTTTTCATTGTTCAACAATTTCCTCTGAATCGATCAGCCAGTACAGCATTCATACATTCCATAAGTCACTCACGTGTTTTCACTCTGTGAAGGGCCCAATCTGGGATATTTTCGATGGATTTCGAAATGTGATCCGATAAGGACACTAACAAATGTACTAGTCCAAGTGGTTTTTTAGCCGAACACTTGCACTGACAATGA